CAATCATCCCTATAGATATAGATATAGTAAATATCACACCTCTTTTAACCCTTGTCACCTACTTCATCATAGATAATTGATTTTAACATCGTGAATTTGATTATCCAATACATTGAACACTTGACTAACATTATAGATATGAGAAACAAAAGTAAGAAAAATCTAGCATTAGGTCACCTCATAGCCTATACTCCTAAAGCCAAATATAATTTACAATGTTCTACACCACCTAATCTTTATTCAGCCTACTACACCAACAGTTCCTTCCACATACTTCAGAGTGATAGATGCCTCCATGGTCGCTATGTGGCAGATCTAGAGTAAGAGGAGGCAGTTGGAGCTCCACAAGCGTCAGCACTTGTACACCATCCTTCTCAGTATAAGATATTGATTTAGAGATTTGATCATATGGAAACTCACTTTGATGCTTACGTAGATGAGCATCATTAACAATATGAGACTTATATGGCATGTTTTGGAGAGTAGTTTACATCCATTCACCAATACTTTCATGCACCTCCACCACCACCACCTCATTGAAGACGTTCCTACTTTTAGCATGTGTTGTTTATAGTAGTTTATGTCTATGTTTTCTTTTCATTATCGTGTTTATTTAATTTTCTTTATTATGCTTAGTTGTTCTTCCTTTTTGTGATGTCATGAGAGGGAGATTGTGTTTGGTTGATTGTAGGGTAATTATTTGGTTTTAGTTTATTCTGGTTTTGTTCTCACTCTCTCTTATTTTATCTTTGTTTTGTGCTTTGTATTGCATTTAAAATATTTATAAAAAAATAAATTAACAATTCAAAAAAATGACCCCTAATTAAATGCATCACTAAGTGAGGAATGTTTTGGAGAAAATATGATTAATTTTAATTCTTTAACCAAAGTATTTGTCATCATAAAAAGGGTGATATTGTAGTAACATGATCTCAAGCTCATGATTTTGATGATAATAAAATTTACTGGCTTCTTACTATATTCTCTTGTTAGTATTAATGGATATTATTTTTTATGCACACTAACATTTCATGTAATTTGTATACCGTACAAAAGGATTGACCCAAAATTGGGTAGACTAAGAGTCTTGTTATCTAATAAGAGTATTTAATTTGTTTTATTTATTTTACATTTCTTGAGTCGAAAGTCCTACAAAAAATGTATAGCATCTTAGTGACCATTCACACATAGGAAGGGTAGGAAATATAAAAATATTAATTTTTGATCAAATCGTACTGTACGATCTCAATTGTGCTATAAGATCTGAGTTAAACCCAGTTTAATTATATAATTAAGTTAAGTTTTTTTTTTGTCTAAACATACTGAATGATCAGTATAAATCAGGAAAGATGTCCTTAATATAAATTAGGCAATATTTTGAAGTTTGAAATTTATACTAATTATATTGTATGATCCCTATTATACTCTACGATGAATTTAAATTGTATAATACTCTAATAAAGCAATTGAATATGGGCTAATTGATATTGAACATCGTACTGTATGATGCCCTTATTCGTACAGTATGAACCGATTCCATCTGGGGACAAAAATTATTTGCCGCCAATGCATCTTGGACAAAATAATGATTCTATTGAAATAATCATATTATATGATACTAAAATCATATTGGACGATCAGTTTCAAATTGAACTAATGATACGAGCTTCTATCTATCGTATAATACTATTATGTCATATTTAACTAATCGTACTGTATGATTCCATATCGTACTATATGATCAGAGTTCACTAAATTAAAAATTTAGGATTTTCTTACGCCTGGTTTACATATTGGCTTAAAGCCAAAAGAGAGATCAATCTTTAGGTTATTGAAGGAACTCTGAGGGAGAACTCTTGAGAGAATTATAGTGTTTTAGAGAAGGAGAAGGTGGGATAGAGTGGGAGGGAGGAGTGCTACCTTATTTCCTCCAAGGACTTGGTGAGTTTTTGTGGTAACTCAAGAAAGAGAAGTTTCAATGTCAAAGGTCGAGGTTATCTGCCTTCACTAAGAGAGTAAAAAAGGATTTCAAGTTATGTTGTCGTCACCAGGGGGTGGCATAGCTTTGAGATTCTCTGCCTTCATGAGGAAGGTGAAAAAGTTCCAATGTACTCTATCGTCACCATGAGGGTGGCATAGCTTTGAGGTTCTCTGCCTTTACCAGGAGGATGAAAAAGGATTCCAAGGTACGCTGCCTTCACCAAGAGGGTAGCATAGCTTTGAGATTCTCTTCCTTCACTAGGAGGGTGAAAAAGGATTCCAAGGTACACTACCATCACCAGAAATGTGGAAGAGAGTAAAAAAGGATTCCAAGTTATGTTGTCGTCATCAGGGGGTGGCATAGCTTTGAGATTCTGTACTTTCATGAGGAGGGTGAAAAAGTCTTCCAATGTACTCTATCGTCACCATGAGGGTGGCATAGCTTTGAGGTTCTCTGCCTTTACCAGGAGGATGAAAAAGGATTCCAAGGTACGCTGCCTTCACCAAGAGGGTAGCATAGCTTTGAGATTCTCTTCCTTCACTAGGAGGGTGAAAAAGGATTCCAAGGTACACTACCATCACCAGAAATGTGGCATATATAGCTTTCGTGTTCTCTACTTTCACTAGGAGAGTGAAAGATTTTCGTTCTCCACTGCATCAAGTTTGTTGGAAGTTATTTGTAAAGGCTTCTCCATCTTGTCGTGGGGGATAAAAGAGAGACACCACAGGAGTTAGTGCAATACCAGGAGAGAAGGACTATAAGGAGCAAACGTAGGTCAAATTTTGACTGAACCGCTATAAAATTTCTAGTGTGCTCATTCTTTTACTTGCATTTTCCTTTATCACATTTTATTTCTTGCATATTATTCTTGGGAAATATGTGGTGATAAATTTTATAATATATATGTATTAGTTTCTGTGAGTAAGAATTAATAGAAATAAAATATGAAACTCAAAAGTAACAAAAAAATATTTTTTAAATCAAACAAAAATATAAATAGCATTTTTGTCTCTGATATTTGCTTATGCTAGTATTTTTATTTGACATTGTTTGTAGAGAGGAACCTTTAAGGAACAAAATTTTAAAATATCAATTCACCACCTCCCGTTCTCGTGGTGTCCCTAAGGACCATTCAACGAGGTTTAACACTCTCCATTTAACTTTTAGTTTTATGTGACCAAAGCAGCAAATCATCTAAGATTCTCTCTAAGCTTATCTAATACTGGAGCTACTTCAACCATTTTACATATATACTCATTTCACATTGTCTTTAATGCATTAAGTCACTCATCCACATGAGCATCCTCATTTCTGCAATATTATACTTAGGCTTAGTTTGGGAAGACTTTTTTTACTGTATTTTTTTAAATGGAGTTTTAGTATAAAAATTGAAAATTTTATAATAAAATTTCATTTTAAGAAGCAATAAAAAGTCGTCACAAACTAAGCCTTAATCATATGTTTCTCTGTTGAGGGTCAATCATAAAGTATTGCAAGTTTCACAAATATCTTACAAAATTTTTCCTTATATTTGATTATTATTAATCTATCACACAACAGGCCTCATGAATTCCTCCACTTGAATTCTACTAATAATATCCTCATCTACTTCATAATCACTTTAATTCTTTGAACAATAGATTTGAGATATCTAAAAAAAAAGTATTCTTTTTAGTGACTTGATCACCTGTGTAAGATATTTGAAATAAATAATATGCAAAATATAGTGAGAGGTTATCACAGTTTTTTTTATTTTAATTTTTTTTAACCAAAAAAGCCTCATCTTACTCGAATAACGAAATTTCAGCAGGGAAAAAAAAAAGAAAGAAATTAACGTGACTTCTCACATGGTCATAACTTCAGCCACATGCTATTCAATTTTCAATTTGTATTCGCTTCTATATTTTATCTTTTTCCCATAGAAAGGCGTTCACTATGAGATAAATTGCTGGTTACATTTTTTTTTTAATTTGTTTTTAGAAAGAAATTAAATTATTTTACTGATTTATATAAAAGAACCGTAAAATGATTTTAATATGAAAAAAAAAGTTTGGATGTGCAAATAGATTATTTGAGCTAATGAAATTAGTTAATTAAATAAATATTTAGTTGTTTTTTTAAATAAATATTTAGTTATGATGGCTAGGCAATGGATGATTAGGTCTTTAAATTATGAGTTAAATTAAGTAATTTATTGTTCATTAAGTATCTATTAAGAATAACTACACGTTAATTAATACTTATTAACACTTTTAAATTATAATAATTTTTAGGTATTCCAATTTTTTTTTAACAGCTACCCGTTTGTCGCTCTAAAGAGAACGCTTGGCAGCGGAACCTAGCGAAACCATCCACCCGCATCGGGCTCATACTTGCTTTGCTCTGCTAAAGAGGCGAGGCCCATACTTGCTTTGTCCCATATAAAGGCGAGGTTGAAGTAGGGGAGATTCAAATCGAGGATGAGGGTTCCAAAATTTGCTCATTCACCAACCACCCTAAACCTCGGTGGATTTAGGTATTACAATTCAGCATATATTTAATATTGTTTAAAAAAATTAAAATGATTTAATTAATAAAAAATATAAATAAAACTCTTATGTTATTAATTAACTAATACATAACTAAATTAATTAGAACTTAAATAGATTTTATTATTGTTAAATCGTTGATACAATAAAGATGGAATAATTTTGACAATTAAAATATATTTTTATTACGATTATTAAAATAAAATTAATAATAAATAAATAAATTCAACATATAAGCAAGCCTTGATTGTCTCATTCGAGTTTAACGTCAGAGTTCAGACCTCAATGTTTCCTTCGTTCTCCAATTTTTTCCATCAACTAAGCCCACCACCTCAAGTACCCATAAAAACTCTCGCGGTCTTCTGCTTCATTCCCGTGATTAGGCTCTCTTCTCAGGCGTTCTCTCCCTTTTGAGATCTGATCGTGTCGGAGGTCGGAATAGTCTCAGAAATTTTCGATTTTTGTTGTTTAACTTCCCTGCGCCTAGCATACTTTGGCTTGAGAGGGAACAGTAAGCCATGGATGCCTACTGTTTGGGACTAAAGGGCAATGCTTTTGCCTTTCAAGTGGGCAGAGGAAGAAGTTTGGGAAGTGATGGTGGAATTTGGGGAGATGAAAATTGTTTCAGGTCTAAGGTTTTTGGGAGTAGGAAATGTGTTAAAGGAAGGAGTTTTGATGGAAGGGGCAAGGAAAGACCTGTTGTCTCTATTCTAACATCAGACGTCAACAAAGAAACTATGGTAAGAAGGTTTTCAGTGCATTCTAATACAGTTCTTTAACGATTTTTTTTGGTTTGTTTTTTCAAATTCTGAGGTTGCAAATCTATATAATATAAATTATGCTAAAAGATTGTATGTTTGATGAGTTCTATTAGTCTGTGATCTATGCTTTATGTATGATCATCTTAGATTTTAGAAAGGGCTTTCAATGTCCTTATGTTGTGGTTTATTAAGTGCGTAGATTTTACTTAAAGCTTTACGGTACAGGGCTTTTTAAGTTAATTTTTTTATCTATATTTTGTTTTTGTGTGTAATGAGACTATGAGAGCAAGACGGAGCTATTGGTTTTTTGGTTGAAAAGTTATTTTTCTTTCTGTTTTCATGAAAGAATGTTCTTTCATCATTCATCATTCATCTTTTCATTAAACGAAGTGGCAAAAGACGAAAAAACTGACTTTCTAGTTTTCTTTTTTCCTTTTTTAACTGTGTATTTGAACCCTTAAACATCCTTCCCTTCTTTTAATATGGCTATTTAAAAGTTTGATTTTCTTTCTCTGCATGTATATGTCCTGTTGGTTTTTTAAAGTATTAAAATTAAAATAATTAGATGTATAAGTATTGCTACTATCTCAAATATCTTTAAATGCTAGCTAGACAATAGGGATAAGTGCAACCTACTTTTTATATGGTTTTATTGTTTTAGTAGGGTAAAAAGATAGTAGCCTTTTGATGCCATCTTTTCATTTCTCCATAAAGATTTTTGCTTCTGTAGCTTGTAAGGTGAAACCCTGAAAAAGGCAAAAAGAAAAAAGCTTCATGTCTATTTACATATTACTAAAGCATAATTAGAAAGAGTGTTCTCCCAAATTTCTAGAAAAGCTTGTGAGTTCTATTTCAAAATAGTATTCTCGTCACTTTTTGATGATTATAAAATCAGATATAGAGGACATCTTCTCATTCATGAATTGCAAAATTTTAAATTTTTTGGTGAGATATTTTCCCTTTCTTTTTAATTTTTAAAATATCAAATATAAGAAAGAACAAAAAAATTTGAGCAAAAAAATACACAAATATGTTAGACTAATAATAATAATGTCTTATCAAATGATTTTTTAGAGTGTGATGTTAGAATTTGATGGGATCCTTATTTTTGTCTTTTCCAATCATTGTTGATATATCTGATGTTTCATATTGAAAGAATGTCATAAATTTCTCACAAGTGCATTTAAAACTACATATTTTTAAAATTTCCTATACCTTTGTAAAAATCTTTTATAATATATTAAGAATAAAAAAACCTGGTGAAGAAAATACACAAAAATGAAACATTATATTTTCTTATGACTTCAATAGTAAAGGTTATTTGTGAGTATGATATAAGTTAAGATCAACAATAAAGAATGACTTGAATAACCATTGAACTATTACTCCATAGATTGATTGTTGGAATATATCGTATTGGAAGCAACCTGAGAAGCTCTTTGCTGTTAGGGGTGGAGATTCAATCTCACCTTTGTCAGACATGCATTTCTTACCTGTTTATTTATTTTATTGTTCATAATTTCCTACAGTAAGGAATGTATGATTCAATGGATTTTTTGTTTTACAAATATTATATTTCCTGGCAATGCAAAATATATTTTCATGCTGTTCTTCTATACACATAGTTGTAACCAAAATTTACCAAAAGTCCCCCTTTGCTAAATCAGCCAATAATTTCAGGTTTTTGAAGCTCCAATGTTTGCAAGAGAAAGGGCAGAACCGAAGAATATTGCTTCCGTCATATTGGGAGGTGGAACTGGAGCAGAGCTCTTCCCTCTCACTAGTACAAGAGCTACAGCAGCTGTAAGAAACCGTTACCTGGGACCTCGGTTTGCAATTTTTTTTCAGTACTAGAATCTAAAGTCTTAGGAGAGAATAAGTACATAAAATTTTGCTTATTTGCCAATTTATTGTTCTTCACTTCTGGCATTTTTCACAAGTATTTTTATGAAAGAAAAAAATTATATTTCTGTTGGAGGGAGTTGAGCACATATCACCATTAATGCTGAAGTAGAAGTATGTGGATAAATTGTTGTTCATGAATCATGCTTCAATTTTAGGGGAAAAAGGCTTTAATTTCTTTAAGCTGCAGACTTGTATAATTATTTTGTACAGGAACTTTCCTCTGGGAGTTGACCTCTGTGGTGTTGTTTGTTGCATATTTTTTCCCATCCAAATTGGAAGAATAAAATTTTTAATTGTAACTTCTACATTCCATATCCCAATACCACACCCCATTCCTTAACAAAAATACACTGCACAAAAGAGCTGTTTATCCTGATAAATGCCACCTACCATTCTTTGGTTCTATTGACGTTGTTATGCTAAAAAAATGTTTTTTCAAATTAGCCAGCTTAAAATCTTTAAAAATCACATGAACAGCTTTCTTTTTGGCAATTAGGTTCCCATTGGAGGATGCTACAGGCTTATTGATATTCCAATGAGCAACTGTATAAACAGCGGCATAAACAAGATCTTCATCATGACCCAGTTTAACTCTGCATCTCTTAATCGACATATTGCTCGTACTTACAATTTCAGTAATGGAGTCAACTTCGGAGATGGATTTGTCGAGGTATGATTTTCCATTTGCTTTTCACTGCTTCACTTCTTGTTTACTTCTGCCCCACATTATTTGATACTTCAAGTTGAAACTTTTAATGCTACTGGTTAATCTGGGTCTTGCCTCCTACTAATAATGCCTGTTTTAAGAGCAGTGAATTTCAGACATTTTTGCAGTTTAATGAAAAAGAATAAATCTTAATTTAAAAATAAAACTTAACGATCTCAAATAAATTTATTTATTTTATTTGTTTAAAACCTGAAACAGTCATTATCTAATATTTGGTTTGAAGCTCTAATTTCTACTCTATATAATGTTCAGTTCGAATGGTTTTTGAAGGTCATCCAAAATGAATTTGATAAGTTTTCTTGAGAATTTGTTATAGATCCCTGTGTGATAAGCACACCACAATTTTTTCACTGATATTTATGTTTTATTGCCCGAAATAACAGGTTCTAGCAGCCACACAAACACCTGGAGAAACTGGAATGAACTGGTTCCAAGGAACAGCTGATGCCGTAAGACAATTCAGTTGGGTCTTCGAGGTTAGTGTTTGTAAACAAAAGAAATGAAAATCCAGTGAATTTTGGTGTCATTTCTTTGAAACAAGTAATAGTTATCTGCTTTATGTTTCTTTGTATTTGAACATATATACAGGATAACAGGAATAAGAACATTGAGCACATACTTATTTTGTCTGGTGACCACCTTTATCGCATGGACTACATGGACTTTGTGCAGGCAAGGAAATACTTCATTTATATATATATATATATATATATAGATTGTCTTGGTAGCATACTTTACCTGAATATTACATGATATTGGCTGCAGAAGCATATTGATGCGGGAGCAGATATCAGTGTTTCTTGTATTCCTATAGATGAAAGGTTTGTCTAATTTCCCATAGCTGTTTATTGTCTTTTAAGTTAATATCAATTTGCATACTAAGGCTCTTTCTTTTTATGGAACGCTCATTTTAGGAGGCAATGATGCCCTTCTTATGTGGAATCGATTTGTAATTAGTCTTGTGCATCCTTATTTCTAATTGGGCTCGTGTCTACTTATTTGTAACTGGCCTTCCTCCTTTCTTTCAATTAATAAAATATTTAGGATAGTTTATATTGTTTAAAAAATTGTTCTAATGAGTATTACCTGTATTTTATTTTCTATTATGACTGTCCAGAATTTGTACAATATATATTTTCTTTTGCTCTGATTTAAGGCGATTTCTATAATTCTCCCTTCTATTAAAATTTTGCTGATGTTCAACTAATCTCTAAGCAGAGGTTTGTCAACCGAAGTCATCTATAACTAAAAACAATAAAGGCATTAAAGCTTAGTAATCTATTTCTGTCATCTCTCTTACATAAGTAGTATAGATTAAATCTTAATGCACAAACAGTTGTATGAATGTTGTTCTGCTTATGGATCTATGAAGTTTACTAACCTTTTCCAAATTCTTTCTTTCACTATTTTATTCTTTTTAAATGTTACAATTTTCTCTAACTTTACTCTCTCTTATACTTTGAAAGCCGGGCATCCGACTGTGGCTTAATTAAGATTGATAAAACAGGCCACATTGTCCAATTCTCTGAGAAACCCAAGGGTGCAGACCTAGAATGTATGGTAAGAAGCTGTTCCTATCATTCCATTATTGCTAGCTCAGTCTAAATGCAACCAACATCTTCTCTAATGGAAATCTAATGGGTGATGGCAGAAAGCTGACACAACAGTCTTCAGTCTCTCTCACAAAGAGGCCATGAAATACCCCTATATTGCATCCATGGGGGTATATGTTTTCAGAAGAGATGTTCTGTTGAAGTTACTTAAGTATGTTTCACTTTTGAAGGTTAATTAATTACTTTGGAACTCTGTAAGTAGAATGATGTTCCTCATTTATGGATTCCCATAATGTTTGTTCCAGGTGGAGGTTTCCTACATCGAATGATTTTGGTTCTGAGATACTTCCTTCAGCTTTGCAAGAGTATAATGTTCAGGTGAGAAAGATTTGAACTTGTTTTACCACTCAACTCTCCTTTTTTCTGTTCTTTGTAGTTTATGGAAGTGTGTCCTTTATCAATTAACTTTTGATACCCAAAATGGATGCCAGAGTTATTTTATTTCACAAAATCCTAAGCATCATGAAAATTGCTAGGTCCTAATTGGAAAGCTGAAATTGGCAATTGGATTCCCAAACATGGTACTAGTCTCTAACATACCCTGCAATGAAACCTAAATGTGTAAATAAAAAGTATAATTACACTAGAGAATAGTGTGGGATAAATAAATGCAAAATATAGGAGAGTAAGAAAGGGAAAAGTAATATAGAGAAAGTGAACTACACAAAGAAGATCAAAATTTTACTTGGTTCAGCTATTTTTGATGTCTGAATCCACTTCTCAAGCCCTTTCTTGGGGATTCTACTAATCAACTTCACCAACTATGAAGGCCAAGCTAGTACAAGGTAACACTTCTTCCACTAAGAGAAACAACACAGGACTTTTTCTTGACTCATAGCCAACCATTACCCTTGGTATTATTTGTTTTCTCAAGATCAACCCTAAAAGTCAGCTCTTCCACTACCACTGAGAAGCTCCACGTGGACCAGTCACCAGACCATCAAGGAAACAAACTCATTACCGCCTCAACATATCCTAGCACTACATCTGTAAAGCTCGCCACACAAGCCTCTGTATAAATACATAGAGCTATAGTAAAGCCATAAATAAGAAATCTGAAACAGTGAAATGAATTCCTACATTCTAAGTTTCATTCTCTGTATGCGTTACTATTCTACCCTCTGTTTTAATTTCTCTGTTTATCTGCTTGTCTTAGTTTTACATGGTATCTTAGCCATTTCTGGCTCGCAGCCCGTACCCATCCTCCTCTCAACCCTTAGATAATCTCCCATAGAATTCACTCCCTCTTCTCACATCAGTGAGGATGTTCAAGACAGCACCACTATTCTCTCCTCCCTAAAATTTTTGATCTCCAATATCAAAAATATCGTTCCCATAGCCCTCTCTACTGATAACTTTCCCTCATGGAAATCCTCGATTCTCAAGTTGTTTAGAGCAAACAACTATGCCTCCTTGATCCCTCAGCAGTGGTACCTCCTTGCCTCGTTATGCAACCAGATGGAATTTCTTGACCAAACCATCTCTGTACCCAATTGATGCTGATCGATCAGAACTTAGCAGCCGCACTGTGCTCTACACTCTTTCCCTCCATCCTTCCCTACATCCTTATCCTAGACTAATGCGCGGACATATGGACGACGCTTGAGCGTCGACTATAGGCAACTAATCGTTCCCGAGTCATTCAGCTCAAGAACGAGGTGCACAACATATCTATGGGACAATACACAATGCTTTAGTACCTTACCACCATCAAGACATTAGTTGATAACATAGCTGCCGCCGGAGCCACCATTGATCCAGAAGATATTCTCCTTTACACTCTCAACGGTCTGCCATCTCTATCAGGCTTTTAAGACTCCCATCCGCACGACGCTATCTTCTATCAGCCTCGAAGATAAGTACTCCCTTCTTCTGAGCGAGGAATTAACCGCTCAGCTGACTTGGCCAAAGAAGCCGCAACTCCACAGCTCCAGACAGCCCTCTACACCTCTGGTGGAAGAGGCTGAGGCAAAGGCCGCTTCTCCTAAAACTCCTATAGAGGTCGCAGCAACACTTCATTCTCCCCAAGATCACCACAGCCTTCAACCAACGTGAGAATCACATGTCTGGTTTGCGGGAAATGGGGACATCCAACAAACTCATGCTGGGACAGACTCAACCTACAATACCCTACCCAGTCATCTCAGCCTACAACACTAGTCGCAGCCTTGCCAAAGCCCAGTCTCGACTGAATACTGGACTTCAGCGCCTCATCCCAACTCACCAACAGTCTCGACAACATCTTTCAATCGTCCGACTATGAAAGCATAGGCACAGTCACCATCGGAGATGGTCTCCATCTTCATATTACCCATTCAAGTCCCGACCACCTCTCGTAATCTCCTCCTTCATATTCTATTTCATCTACCGCAACTTTACTACAATCATATAGACAATAATCTCTTCATCCTTTTTATGATTTTGGCTTTCAAATAAAGGTCCGGACGACCAATTTAGTACTTCTTTCGGGACCCTGCCGTGATGGGATCTACTCTATCTCATCCAATTCAGCTTGTCATCCACCTGTTACGGCATTATCGGTTCACATTCCAACCTCTCTTTGGTGGCACCACCGCCTGAGACATTCTCATCAGCAAACCATGGTCACCATCTCCAAGTCCAACAAATCACTAGCTATTCCCACCTCCTCTCCCTGCTCATCATGTAAGATCTCTAAAGGTCATAAACTTCCATTCTCTAGCTCTCTAAATCATACTTACAAACCCTTGGAATTTATTCACACAAATGTATGGGGTCCTGCCCCCTTTTCATCAATTCAAGGCTTTAAATATTATGTATCATTTATCAATAATTCCTCTCTCTTTACTTGGGTTTACCCATTAATGTACAAATCAGATGTGTTTTCTACATTTGTTAAATTTCATATTGCACTAGAAAATCAATTCTTTTGCAAAGTAAATTGTGTATGCAATGATGGAGGAAAATAATACCTTAACACCAATCTACAAAATTACCTTCAAACTAATGGAATAACGAATCAGATCAGCTGACCCTACACCCCGAAACAAAATGGTCTTGCGGAAAGAAAGCATCGCAACATCCTCAAAACCATAAGAACCCTTCTACATACTATTCACCTTCCCTACCACCTGTAGCTCGATACCATTCTCGCCGTAGTCTACCACATCAACATGATGCTATCCCCCACTACCTCCAACATCTCCCTACACCAAATCCTATACAGCAAACCTCCACAGAATGACCACCTCATAATATATGGTTACGGCTGTTATCCACTTCTTCCACCTCCAACCAGACACAACTTTCCCCCAAATCCCCTCTCTGTGTATTCATCGGATATGTACAATCATACAAAGGATACAAAGGCCTTGACCCAACCACCGAGAAAATATACATATCTAGACACATCACCTTCGACGAATCAATTTTTCCCTTCTCCACCCAATCTCCAAATACCCCTCCAACATCCCATAACTGCTCACCAAACCCAAACCTCCTTCTCCCAACTTCTCTTTCAACATCCCGCTCAGTTCCCCCCTCTTTCCCAACACAGGCTCCATCAAACTCCACCCCCTCCCCCTCTACCTCAACCACTTCTCCCTTACCTGGAAACAACCCATCACCACCTCCTCACACTCGTCCAACCTCCAATCACCCTATGATAACCTGGTCTCAAACTAGCACTCTCAAACCTTGCCAAATACTTGGCCTTTACTCTTCAATCATCCCCGACCCTACCACCTATGTCGAAGCATATAAATACCCTCATTGGTGAGCTGTCATGGCATTTGAATTTCTAGCTCTCCAACAACAAGGCACTTGGCTCCTTGTACCTCCACCCCCAACCAACCGATTTGTGGATGTTGCTGGACATTCAAAACCAAACGAAATGCGGATGGCTCCATCGCCTGATACAAGGATCGTTTACACAAGGAAACCATAAAAAATACAGCTTCAACTACACTGAGACCTTCAGCCCTCTAGCCAAATTCCCCTCAATTCAGGTTTTCAAAATTGCAGTCACCCATCAATGGCCTATTCACAAACTCGATGTCACGAATGCATTTCTTCATGGATCCCTCAATGACACTATTCACATGGGTCAGCCTCGTGGTTTTGAAGATACAACCCTTCCCAATCACGTTTGCCTACTTTAAATCTCACTTTATGGCATTAAACAGGCTCCTCGCTAGTGGTTCCAAACATTTTCCACCCATCTCCTCTCTCTCGGGTTTTAGAAAAGCATGGCTGACCGGGCCCTCTTCACCCTTAAACAAACCTCTGTTCAGGCCTATCTTCTCATTTATGTGGATGGCATCCTCCTTATTGGTAACTATCCTCCATTCGTCCACAAATAATCTCCTCCCTCAGCCACCTATTCTTAATCAAACACCTCGAACAGCCTTCAACTTTCCTTGGCATTCAGATACTTTCTCACAATCATCAACTACATCTCTCTCAATCTTCCTATGCGGCCTCAATCCTACACCAAACCGGTCTGATCGATTGCAATCCACTAGCTAATCCTTCCCTCACCAAACCACTTATTGATCATCCCATCGATCTTTGTATTTCAAACCCCACTACTTATCGTCACATCACCGGATCTCTACAATATCTCACCATAACTTGACCGGAATTATCCTTTGTCGTCAATACATTATGTCAATATATATGCATGCTCCTTAAAAAAATGAAAAATATATATATGCATGCTCCTTCACCCTCTTACTATCACCTACTAAAACGCCTACTTTGCTATATCAAAGGAACCTTTAATCTTAGACTTCCCATATAACACTCTTTGCTCCAACTCTCGGCCTTCAAGGTGCTTTACCTCAGGTTATTGTTGCTTCCTAGGGGACACCCTCATCTCCTGGATGGTAAAGAAATAGCAAACTGTAGCTCGTTCCTCCACCGAGGCGAAATATTGTTCTTTGGCAGCAGCTATAGCGGAAGTAATCTGGATTCTCCGCCTATTTTCATATTTCAACCTTCCACAACATCAACCTACAGACATAGATTGTGACAACACCTCTGCAATTGCTTTGGCAAACATGCCAATGTTTCATTCCCGGAGCAGGCATATTGATGTGGATTTTCACTTCATCCGCGACCACATTCTGTCCAAGGTGGTTTGTATAGTACCAATTAGTACCATTGATCAAATTGCTGACATCTTAACAAAGCCGCTCCCTACATCAAGATATCATCTCCTCAGAACCAAACTAACCATTCAACCTTCATCATTAGTTTGTGGGGGGTGTAAAAGCCACCTCTTCCACTACCACTGAGCAGCTCCATGTGGACCAGTCACCACACCATCAAGGAAACAAACTCAGAACCAGTTCAACCTATCCTAATACTACATCTGTAAAGCTTACCGCACTAGCCTCTTTATAAATACATACAGCTACAGTAAAGCCGTAAATGAGAAATCTGAAACAGTGAAATGAATTCCGGCATTCTAAGTTTCGTTCTCTGTATGTGTTATTATTCTGTGCTCTGTTTTAATTTCTCTGCTTAGCTGCTTGTCTTAGTTTCACAAACCCTCAAAACTTTTAATTGGGATCATCTATAGCCCAAAATAAAGTAGAGATCATAACAACCTAAAGGAAGAATCCTCTAGCACAAGATATCAATAATAAAAAACAAATAAATATGTTTGTATTGCTATAAGGATTACTAATGCAAAACTATTCAACCAAGCCAAAATTACTTTGCAAATTTAATATCTCTAGGTAAAAAATGATATCAAAGATCATAATAATAATCTCAAAAAGTCCCATCTTCAAAAATCTCAACACTTGCTAAATTTACCTCATGAGGCTAAGCAAATGAAAGCACCAAGTAGCTTATGGAGATTTAAGAGGAAGGAAGCTGATGCGGACATCCAACCGTCCATGCAAATCCGAGGAGGAGCTGAAATAGACGCCCGAGATCTCTTTGTTTTATTTTCGTTTATTAAGTGTATTTTAATTTAGTTTTGCAATTTCCCTTTTTTACCCTCTTGTCTTATGTAAGCCCAAGGGGTAAATGTGTCTTTTAATTTCTTTTGAGGCCTATATATAGAGGCCCCTTCTCTTGTATTAGGATGATGGATTATTAATAAAAAAAATTTGCATTTTGCACTTGGGTTCTTTGGGAAGAACGTTAGTGAAATCCCTATGGGAGGGAGTCGGAGTTTCCACCAGCCGCAGGATGGGTCCGGGCTCGTGGCGTGAAGTCCCTTGGAGAAGGGCAAAGTAGTACCCGTCAGCCGCAGGATGTGTCCGGGCTCGCGGTTGTATCTTTGATATTTTGTTTATTTGCTTTTGTTCCTTCTTATTGCTCTTCGTCATTATCTTCATCTTCTTCCTCCTCTCCATCTTCGTTTGGCCTCCGGATTCTAGCCTCACCCGAAAACCCCTCTTTTCCCCGTCGAACACCCACGGCCAACATTCCACCCAAGCTCCCATACCGCCGGCCAACCCTCTAACCACCGGTTCCCCATCCACCTCCTCATCCCCATTAATTCCTTGATTAATTTGGGTAATTTAATTTTGGGCGGTTTTCAAATTTCAAATCCAACTAATTTGAAATTTGAAATTTTTCATAATTTATCGTTCCATTTTTGGAAAGTTGTAAATGAGTTCTATTTGAATTGTAAATTCAAATGGATCTAAATAATTCTTTCCTAAATCCCAAAACCCAAATTAGGTAACCCAATTGATTTCTCTAGACCCATCTTTCCCTTTGGATGCTGCCGGCCTCTTCCTCCACCTTGGTTGTAGGAAACAATTTCAATTCCCGTAACAAGATTTGTTCATCACATCCAAATCCTGGAATACCCTTTTAATTGCTGCCATTTGTATTATTCTCAACATTGCACAGTTTGTTTTATTTCCAAACAGTATTCTTATTTGGAAATAATTTCAATTGCCGTAACCTCTCTAGCCGAATTTCCCTGAGCTTTATTTCCAATTTTTATTTCCCAAATCAAGCCTCTGATTTGAAAAATAAAAATTCCTTAACCCACACTGTCATCCCGCCGTCCCCTCTCCATAATAACTTGCATTTTGAAATCTATCCTTAAATGCAGTTTATTCCTTTGGAAAGATTTCCAAAATCTGATTGCTGTTGGCCGAAATCTCTCTGGCTACTTCCTTGGGATTCTTACCAAACTCCTCCTCTCTTCACCAAATTCTGAAACTTAATTCAGGTTTTGTTTTGGGCCCTCTCTTCCAAAACCTGTAAAGGGATTTTGCTCTCAACTTTCTATTCCCAACCACTAAAATCTGAGAATTTCTCTCAGATTTTTGGTGGAAATCTGAGTTTGTTTTCAGAAATTAAGAGAAGAGGTGTGGAGCTTGCAACCTCTCTCTTACCAAGCGAAAATCTAAGATTCTTTTCAGGTTTTGGGCAAAGAAGTCCGAATTTCCTTCAGATTTTGGAACCCGTTCTACATCAGAAGCTCAGGAACAGGATATGGAGAGCTTATCAAAATAATTGAAGAATGGAGAAAGGAGTTTTAAAAACTTTAAAATTTGGAGGTATTTATAACGGTAGGAGGCACAGATGAGTACATGAAATCAGAGTAAAAAGATTTGGAGCCAAATTAAAAGTATTGTTATTTATGAATCCAATACTTTATCCAATTAAGATCATTAGACTCAAAAGTAAGTTGAAGGTTACTATGAAAGGCCCATAGCCAATTATGGTTTAGATTTGATTAAAAGGGTGTAATTTTGGTGTTAATCGAACCAGATTATCCATTGAAAAGCATGCTTAGTGGATGAAAATTGCATGGCAATCAATTTATGATAGAATTAGATTGCGCAAATCAGACAGCACTAATAATGTTGATTGGCAGTTGAAAGACCTAATCGAAGGGGGTCAATCTATTACATGCTAAAATTAGCCAGCCCAAATTGGTTGACAGCCCTTGACCCAGACATTTGGTTGATTTGGGATGTAACTTTGTCTCTTAAAGTGGCCGATGCTATGAACTTTTTTGAAGCACAAAAGTGGTCCTAGCTATTGTTGAGTATTTTTGAGAGTTAATAATTTAAAATATTGATTTTGAGTTTCCATATTATCTACACGGTATATCGTAAGTAGATGTCAAAGTCTAAAATAATTTCTTAAATATCCTATGTAATGTGACTAGACATTTTTAGTGGTGCTTACAACAAACAAAAACAACAACAACAACAACATCAAGCCTTTGTCCCACTATGTTGGGTCGGCTACATGAATCTTTTTTCGTCATTTTGTCATGTTAAAAGTTAAATTCTCATTTAAATCTAATAGAAAAAGATAATTTCTAATATTTTCTAACCAAGTCTTTTTAGGTCTACCTTTACCTTTCTTAACATAAGTCAAATTTAGTACCTCAACTTTCCTAATCGGGTCATCGGAAGGCCTCCGTTTAATGTAACCAAACCATCTAAGACGACTCTCTCTAATCTTATCTTCTACTGGACCTACTCCAACCTTTTCATGTATGTACTCATTTCGTATCCTATCTCTAATCTTATCTTACAACAAAGCCTAAAAAAATTTAAAATATTTTGTAAATCCTCTTAGGCAATATTTGGGACTTGATCAACATTAGCATTATCTTCAGTTGCATGATTTAAAGCACTTTGACTATCCATTAGAGAACCTAGCTATATCAACTTGAAGACACGTGATTAATCCACAAATTATGGTGATTGTACTCAATAGACAGCATGGGGTGTCGACAATTATATGTACATTTAATCTCTTTTATGCTTACAGATTTTCACTTAATCACTCATTTCTTGATAAAGTTTTATGACCCATGCCAATATGTTAGTTTTTATTTTATTCAACATGGTGATATGATCGTGAATACTCATATCTTGGCAGGCATATCTGTTTAATGATTACTGGGAGGACATTGGAAAATTGAATTCCTTTTTTAATGCAAATTTGGCCCTCACCGAGCAGGTTCTGGTGGTTCTATCTTTATTATGAATTGCATTTTATGTTATTCCGAATATTTTAACATTTAAGCATTTTTATTTACGTACGCTTGTGAGTGTCACATTTTTATTTATAACTTGGCTTATTATTTTATGTTGTACCTACAGCCTCCAAATTTCCACTTCTATGATCCAAAGACACCCTTCTATACATCACCACGATTTTTACCACCTACGAAAGTGGATAAGAGCAGGGTATCCTGCCTTTTTTCTCTAATGCTCGTTATTTATTTATTTTTTTGCTTGTTTATCACACTTCTGAATTTGAATGTGCAGATTGTCGATGCAATTGTATCACATGGCTGCTTCCTGCGTGAGTGCAGTGTTCAGCATTCTATAGTAGGCGTTCGTTCAAGGTTGGATTATGGTGTAGAACTGAAGGTATTATGCTATAATATTTTCGCATTTTTTATTCTTCTTTCATGTCACCATTTAAACCCTTTGCTTGCATTTGTCATAGGTGCTTTGTTTAAACATTGGGCAAACACATTGTTTTAAACTTTGTAAGCATGGATTTGGTATGATTTTCTGCTTATCATTTTCCAGCTATTCTCCACAGTAAGGAGAGCCAGCTAAAGCCTCATCGTCCCACATAATGATCAACAATTAATAACATCTTTATGATTTTCTCTGCTAATTGTGGCATTATAACAAAGTAGAATATTTTTTGTTTATACTGTACCAAAAATGGCTATATATGTTTCAATAACTTTCATATATATTTCAATCTCTCATGTATGTCTGAAGCATTAAAACTTATTGGAATGTGTTCAAGGAAAATTTCCACCATTTGAATCTACTGTTGTTATTCCTCTTCATTGTATTAGAAAAAGAAAGCTTAAATGAGCACCCTTCTATTCATTTTTTTCTCTCCACCACTATTCCCACCTAATTTCCCATCCTGGTGGCTGGAAAGGTTGTCAATCTTGTCTATACCACTATGCCTTTGTCTCTTGACATCATCATCCCCATTGTGCAACTCTCACTGATACTCACACTCCATAAGTACCTATCATGAAGAGCTCAATTCAACTCTTTTTTTTTTTTTGAGGTTATAATCTTCTTGGGTATATTGTTGGCTTCCTGTCCCAACCACCTCCCACAATCATGCAAAACACTCTGCAAACTCCCATTCCCTTTAGAACTCATTGAAAAGTACCAATTTGCAAACTCCCGATCCAAAACAATCTGCAAACAAAATCAATTTATCTTTCATGCCATGTTTGCCTCTCTTTCATGAATCTTCTATAGCTTATATAGCATCCTCAACATCATCTGATGATGCCTAGGGTATACCCATTGTTCTATATGCCAATCACTCTCATTATAGAATTCTCTTCCTCACAGGGAAACTCTCTCTCACCATCAAAGGTGACAAATTTATCACCGAATTTTTGCATACTCTCAAAGGCCTTACTAATCAGTTAGCACATGGTGTTTCACCTATCCAAGATGATGATCTCATTTTTTTTTTTCTTTCTGGTATTGAACCTGAATTTAAGAAAATTTTTTATGTTTGTGTAAGACAACAACCCAATCATTTGAAGAAGTTCTTGACAAACTGGTTGAGTATGATGACTTTCTCAAATGTTCATCCAATGATGCTAATCCTCTCCTAGTTATAATAAATTAAAACCATATATCTACACTCATAACCCGCCACACACTCATCTCTCACTTACTACCAGCCGACCAACACAACTAACCCATACCCCAGCCCTCATGCGACTTCGACGTCCAACCTCACCTACTTGCCACCCTCTTCGCACTCGAATCTCACCGCCAGCCACTTGCCAACCACCACCACTTGACCCGTTGCTGGCAGTCAAGGCTGCCTCCTCCCTCTTCTGCAATCTCTTAGTCTCCTCTTTCTCCTTCTTCTTCTCCTAATATTTTCTCCTTCCGACACATTCTCCCTTGCCTTCTCCAACCTCCTCTCTCTCTCTCACACACACACACATACCTCCTTTGTCTCTCTAAACAAATAGAAAAATTGCATTTTCAGAATACAATTGCATTGCGCAAATGCATCATTGAACATGCAAATATCATGCAAGTGTGCAATTGCATTGCTTAAATGCATTAAAATATGTGTGTCACATAAGTGCAATACAAAATATAAAAGTACGTTGCATGAATGCACGTTGAAAAATGCAAATACCCCATACAAGTGCATGAAAAAAAAAAGTGTAAAAAATGTTAGATCATTGAATCCAAAATTCACATATGTGCTCTTAACAAATATGATAAATGCTTAAATTTATCGTCCGAGAGGAACTAAATAAAAATAAATGAGCTCTACCATTATTTTACTTTAAAATTTATACCTCTTTTAAAATTAAATTACCAGCATATGCTGTAACTTATGCATTGAACTCCTTAAGGTCTGAGAATGTTGCACATGTTAAATATGAATTTTGATTTCAAGGCTAATCTCCCTCAAAATGGTTGGAGTTGACGAGACTTGAATTAATAGGCGAGCATGTAGCTGTTAAATTCATATAAGAATATAAGTTTTTACATTCACATTAGACCTTTAAAGTTTTTTTTTTGAGGAAAATTTATTACAAATACAAACCCTTTGATTCAATGCATGTGTAATAATTCATAAACCTGATATCAAATTCAATCCACTGTCGGTGGATAAATAGATTTGATAAGGATCTAATAATATAATGAAAAAGAAAGGATACTGAACTGGTTAAGTATGGACTCAAATATTAAGTCCAATCCCTCCTCTTAAAAAGACTAAAGTTGACAAGACTTGAGTTAATAAGTAAATACAGGGCCATGAAATCCATGAAACTATTTAATTTTTTACTTTCATATTAGAACTTGAAAGTCTTATTTGAGAAAAAATCATTAACAAAATATAAACTCTTGTATTTAACACTCTTATAATAATTCGCAAGGTTTATATGCAAGTTTGATCCTTTGTTAACAGGCCAATTGATTTTAAAATGTTAAAATATCAAATTAAAACACTATAATAGTCATGCTGAAAGTGAATCTTAACTGGAGGGATCAATTCTCTAAATCTATACAAAATTTTATAATTCAATATTTATTACTGTTCGAATATTTAAATTAAAGCAAAATTCATTCGCTCTCTGTAATTGTTTGTCATTGGTGATAAATTTAAGAATAATCTCAATCACAAATAGCGATCGTATATTTGTTTGATAGTTCGAGCCATGTTGACTCCTATCTATTCACATGGAAGAATCAGGCTCGAACATAAGTTCATTTCTTAACCCGCATAGCATCCTCAGATGTCACATGAGCGAATAATCATATTTAAATGCATGGGTGGGGGTTTCTACAATATCAAACTGTAATTAGTTTTGCAGGTGGTGATCATTTGGAGAATGTGCAAGTTTGTATTTAAGGGCCTATAAACACCTTTTGTCCACTTGTACGGATGTTGCAGATCCGATGGCGTAGTGTTGTACTTCATTTATTGCGCATCAATAGTGCTATTTAACTCATTTCATCTTTTGCAAGCTATCATTTTCTTCAGTATTCAATCCACAGGAGTATATCTCTGCCAATAAATCCGTTGTACGACGCATCAGGAGTCTTCTACTTATTGCTTGCAAGCAAGCTAATTTATTTGATGTGATGGACTAGCATTGCAAATTTACTGCCACATCTTATCTGTTGCCCGCAATTTTTACTATTGATTCTCTGTTTTTACTTACAGGTAAATCATAACGTTATGTTTTGTGTCACTCGTTATCCCTTGCGAGCGAGTTATTATGCATGACAAGCTTTATTTAATGTTGTTTGTGGTTCATCAATGTGTATCCATGGGCTAGTAGTGGTTGCATCATTTTCAACGCAAATCTTCCACCATAGCTTGTGGGTAGGTTGTGGCGATGCGCTATGAGTCGCTTGTTGTTGTATGCAGGTAGACTGTCGTGCTGTAACGAATCTCCTGCAATATTGCGTAGGTGCTTGCATTTGTTCCACATTATCTTCTCTTACAAGAAGCTAACATATTTACTTGACATTGAATGGTTTTTTAATAGAAAGGGTGTTGTAACATCCATTGTTTGTTTCCTACTATCGTCTATGTGTAGATTATTATGTTTATTTCATATCTCTAGTTACTATTCATAAGTAGTTTGCTACATAATGAGCTTCTGTTGTTTGCAAGTGTTGCCACGGATCAACTGCCACTTCCTATCATCATTGCTTGCAGGCGGGTTGTCACCTTCGTCTGTATTGATTGCAGGGATGTCGCACCATTCATTGTGTGTTGTTTATATATGCTTGTAGGAGGCATATTGTTTGCAAGCGAGTTAGTGTACTTGATTGTATATAGGCTATTGTAAGAGCACGTCACATTCATCGCGCTTCAATCATTATTGCTTATAGGGTTTAATGCATTTATTTGCATTTATTGTTGATGCTTGTTTGCACTTATTTGCATTTTGCAAGTTAATTAAATTTCATTGCCTGTCAATCGCATTGAGGGCTTGTTCACCACGATTTCCCTTTCCCTTGTTTGATCATTGATATTCATTTGAATAATCCAAATTTGTAATAATTGTTTGCATTGTTAATTTGATTAATTGTTTATCAATTTAATGTTCGGTTTCTTATAGATCAATTCATAAGTTATGTTCCTTATGAATTTAGGTTTGGTCCCTTACATTTTGGTTCAAGTCAAGTTCACTAATAATCTGCAAGTTTAGTCCTTTGTTTATTTAAGAGTCCTATATATTGAATAATTCGGCAGCTTCCTAGCGTCTCCACTGTTTATGCGAAATTTGGGGAGTCTGAGCCTTTCCACTATGCTAGGGAAAAACTTGTAACGTAAGTGTCAAATAAAAAGAGGGCTTCCACCTTCCTCATAAAAAGATAAATCAACAATTTTACCCACACAGTTAATCACAAGAAAAATAAATGCAGAAATAATAAAAAGAAATAATACATCAGATTTATAGTGATTCGGTCCAACCTGACCTACGTCCACTCCTTGGAGGCACCTTCCGAGTATTGCACTAAACCTTTAGTGACTCTCCTTTGACCCCCATAGCTAAGCAGAGAAGCCGTTATAAATCACTTCCACCTTCCCCAGTGCAGCAGAGTAGCTGGGTCCTTTGACACTAAAGAGATCTTCCCAAAACTTCCCTAAAGACGAACCTTGAATCCGATGGTACTAAGATGCAAGTTTGCCGGAGCAACCATGTGAAATCCCCTCCACACTCCCTTGAAACCTCCTCTAAGGATCTTTTCCCTCTCAAACTCAACCCTTTTTTTCTCTCCCTTCCAAGTTCTCTCTTCAAGTTTTCTCTAAAAAAACTAAGACACAATGGTTGTCAAAGACACTTACCAAGTGCCTTGTCAAAGCTTATATTGAGGGATTTGAAAAA